AAACATGATTACATGAGTAAATTAGGTTTCCTCTATTATATGTGGCTATATATGGAGCTAAGACCTATTCCCTGCAAATTGTATCTGAATGTATTGCTGTTTTTTAAAGGCCATTTTTTAAAGACTCCCATTCAAAGCTAATAATTCTACTAATAAATTCAAAATACAATTTTGAATTTAATCCCTGAATCAAGACAAGCAAAGAACAATACATGTGTCCAACAAGAAATAGTGGGTTGGATCTTCCTTTCTGATAAACAATAAACCTCTGTTTATCTTTGGAGCTGAACAGCTGGCATTTCAGGTTTTCCAGCAGTTGCGCTTTCTTTAAATTCAAATATTAGCTGCCCAATTTCCCCATTTCTCTACCACCTATGCTCAAATCATAAGTTTACATTATTGGAGAAAAGTATACTCTGCGATGGGGGGGGGGGGAAGCTTATTACATTTTCTCCATTATACTCTAGGAAGATCCTGATGTTTCTTCAAGAGACATAATATGAAGAGGTGGAGGGTGGACCCATGAGCTGGTAGTTTGCCCCATTCAGATTTTAATGTGGGTTTTTTGCTGGAAAAGAGATTGAAAGATATACAACCACTACTTTGAGTCACAGTGGATGCTTCAAATCTATGATGCATTGTGCAAGGACTCAGGTCCAGGACATCCTCCTTCTCCAGCATTTAAATGTTAACTTCTTCATTAGTTACTCACTGTTCTCTTTTAGACAACCCTGTGAAGGCTGTCTCCCATCTGAAGCTTTCTCAAGAATTGCAGGTGAGTGAGATTCAATTCACAATTTCACTCTGGATATTTGACTATAACCTTAAATTTGGACAAGAGACTATGCTACCATATTTAATCTTTTGGAATAGGCTAGTTTTTTTAAAAAAAATAATTATTGAGTTTTATAGGGTTGGGGATAGAATAGGATCGGGATAAGGATTAAGGTTTAGGGTGGGGTTGGGGTCAACATTGGGGTTATCCCCCAATAACATTTTCAATCTTTAGCCAACAGACTATTGTCTGGGTACATATGTTCAGTTAACAATAATTGATATAGTAATAAGTAACTGTAATAAGTGTAATAAACAATAATCATAAACAGTATCAGTTAATTAATGCATATCATTCTTCTTACTAATATATATTCAAAATAACATATCACATTCATTTCTCACTAGTTCGTTTTCCTAACCATTGGTAAAAATTATCCGATGTTCTAAAGTAAACTAAATCTTCTTTCTCTTTAATCTCTAAGGTCAATCTATCCATTTCTGCACATTCTAAGATTTTCTTAATTAAAACCTCTTCAGTTGGTAAGTTTTCATTTTTCCAGTATTGGGCAAATACTATTCTTGCTGCTGTCAGTATATACAATATTAAATATTCTTTCTCCTTCTCATAGTTAGGTCCTAATATTCCTAACAAAAACAATTCTGATTTAAATTCTATCTTTCTTTTAATCATTTTTTCCAACCATGTATGTATCTTACCCCAAAACCTTTTTGCTTTAGGGCATGTCCACCAGATAAGATAGTAAGTACCTGGCCTTTGTTTACATTTCCAGCAATTATTCGAAGTATTTTTAAACATTTTCGCTAATCTTATTGGTGTCATACGCCATCTGTAAAACAGTTTATACAAATTTTCTTTATATGAGACTGCTTTAGTCAATTTGATATTTCTATCCCATTATTTTTGCCAGTCTTCCAAATCTATAGAATGTCCAAAAAATTTTGCCCATGCTATCATTGTTTCTTTTACTTGTTCTTCTTCCGTCTTTAAATTTAGTAAAAATCTATAGAGTTTCTAAATCAAGTTTTCATCTTTTTAACAATATTTGATCAAATTCTGTCTGTTCTTTATAAAATCTCGTTATCTTTACATCTTTTTCATATCTCATTTGAATTTGTAAATATGGCCACCATGGTAAATCAATACTTTGTCGTTGTAAATCTTGTCTGTCTTTCAATTTTTCTTTGTTGTCCAAGATATCTTTATAAGTCACAACTTTGTCATAGTTAATTAAATTTGAGTAAGCAAAAGCTTCCATTGTTGAAAGCCATTCAGGTAGCTTGATATAAATTTTCTCTTTTATTCTTTCCCATTCTAAAAGAAGAGCATTCCTTATAAATGGTTTTGAAAATACCTGTGTGTTTTATTCTTCCTGTACTATAGGAAGGCATGCCAACCAATTTGTAGGTCATGCCCCTCTAGGTACAATAGTCTTTTGTTTTTTAGCGTTATCTATTCTTTAAGCCATGGTAAAATAGCTGTTTGATAATATAGTCTCTAGTCCTGGAGTCCAAATCCTCCACTATCTTTAGCTTCTTGTAGCATTTTCACTTTAATTCGTGCTTTTTTCCCTTGCCAAATAAATCTCAATATTGTTATATTTAGAGGTCATCAAAAAAGCCCATTCCCAGTTTTACAGGAATCGTTTGGAATAAGAAGAGTATTTTCGGTAAAATATTCATTTTCACTGTAGCTGGAATAGGCTAGTTTTGATGGCATTACAACGCATATCAATATTGTTCCACTTTGTAGAAAGTTATCAAATTAAAAAATAATTGTGTAAAATTTGCAACTCCATTTCCTGATGAATTGGCTTCAAAAGAGAGAAGAAAGGATGCTCAAGAAACTTGTTATCAAAAGTGCAAGAGATTTAAACTAAGTTGTTTTTGTAAAAGTGTTTTATTTGGTGTTTTTTTTTTACATTTCTGGGATCTATGGCTGGATCATGGATCAGAAGCACGTGGAATAAAGACTTTGATTGATTTTGATTTGATTTTATTAGATTTCTACCCCGCTCTTCTCCTTGCGGACTCAGGGCGGCTTACAGCCCGTTAAAAACAAGTAAACAAATACAAAAAACATACCACATTTTAAAATCAATTAAAATAAAATATTGCAATAGGCCAATTAGTATCCTTTAAAACCAATAGAAAACTAATTAAAAGTAATACTTAGGCCAGTCCTGCCTGCTTAAAAAGCCACGTCTTGAGGGCGCGGCGGAAGGAGGGGAGATCCGGAATCACCCGGATCTCTGGGGGGAGTTCATTCCAAAGGGTGGGGGCTCCCACCAAGAAGGCCCTCCCCCTGGGGGTCGCCAGCCGGCACTGTCTGGCTGACGGCACCCTGAGGAGACCCTCTCTGTGGGAGCGTATCGGCCGATGAGAGGTAATCTAATAATAGAAGTTATAACATGATTTCAAAACTTTGGTGCTCTTGGATAAACAAGTTAGAGCCACCTCATTTTCCCTTCTCCCCCCCTTTTAGATCATGCCAGATTTTAATCATCTCATGAAACATAAATTATATGGAACACAAAATGAAACAGGTATCTTTGAGATTTGGGCATCATTCAACATAATATACTTCTGGCTCTGGATAACATAGAGGCTAGAATACAAAGATATATTTTAACTGGCTATTCAAACACCAGCTGAAATGTGTGTCTTACTTAAGTGGCTGAAAAGGAAGCTATAAATCCATTGTCTAAACTGGAAGAAGGCAGTGTAGAATAGAATTATTTAAGTAATTGAGTATAATCCTTTGCTCAGACCAGCAATAAAGGGACTTCCTAGAATTTTTATTGGGATTATTTATGACTGGTTATTGAATTCTTTACGTGCAAAAACTCATCTCTGAAAACTGCCTCTCACTCTGATTCTTAATGGAACAGGGTTCTTTATCGGCCATTCCTTCAACGTTTAAGGACTTTTTCTGCTTTGCTATAGGAATCTTTTCTTAAATGCTGGTGATCTTTTACCGTCTATCAGATTGCATCTGAAGGTTGGAAGCAGAGGTGAGTGAGAAACCGGACACACATATACATACTTATGTGGATAATTTGTCCAAAGTCAAAACATGTGAGGAAATGTTGATAGGTATTCAGTTGTGTGGGTTCTTCTTTTTCCTTCCCCCTATATTAACTAAATATGTATCAGAGAAGTATTGTACGATGCAGGAATACAACATTTAACATATCAAATACCAAAACACTAAATAAAATAATTATGCATATTTCAATAGGATTTTTCTCTTCAAACAGAAAACTTATTTATATCTTGTTGGAAGTGAAATTTGTTTTAGTTAGCACTAAGACTTTCACATACCCATTTATTCAATCAATTTATATCCCCACTCGTCTCACATTATTTGGTTCCAGTAACAATGTGTCTCAAAAGAAAAGTGCCTTGTAACTAGTCTACCACAGTGCTTTAGCTGTTTCTCTACCCAACTTTTTTTCATTCCAGATTATGGAACATTGTTCTAGTACCCATCCCATGATGTGTCTGTCATTCAACACTTTAAATGTTAAATGTTGTACTATTGTTATGCATTCTTTTATACAGTGCTTTTTTTCTAAAAAAAAAAAAAAAAAAGGTGCCGGAACTCAGACATTTCATACAACCTGCCTTGCCTACCCTACAAGGTTCCATCCAAAAAAGGCGCCGGAACTCCGTTCTGGGCGTTCTATGAGAAAAAAAGCCCTGCTTTTATATACCTCATGTTCAAAAGTGACTAAGAATCAAAATATAAATCAGCTTCCTCCTCCTCCTTCATTTTCTCTTCATTTCTATTATTTTATTATGATGATCACAGACAATGAAAAGTCACTATCACTGCTGTGAGAGAGGTGGCCATGTAAATAATTTAAATAAATAAATAATCTGAGTAAAATTTCCAACGTCCCCTGCCCGATAAAACCCATCTATGTCTCACCCACAGGAAGTGTTTACCAATGTGATAGTAACACCTCTTATTTCACAGCAGAAGAAAATTAATGATAATGCATTATGAATAATAATTATAGGGGAACTGTTTACACAGTTACTGGTGTTAATGCTACTTGGCCTCATTATTGCCACAGAGGAGGCCAATAACTGAGATTTAATCTGAGATTTAATCCATGCTTTTGTTTTTTGCAGATCTCTTGCCCTGCAGCAAATTGTCCCAGGACTTTTGGGTTCCAGCTGACTTCACAAAACCAATGATGAAACAATTATTTTGGGGGTTACTTCTGGTGAGCTCAGCAGGTAAGGAAATTAATTCTGGGTAACCAACCTTTTCCTATTTGTAAACTTTATTAGGATCTTTGCTATCAATACCAGGAGGTTAAGTAGAGGAGGAAGAGACAGAGAGCAACATTCCAGATTCAGATGTACAAATTTATCAATGTTGTTTTCCCCTCATTCTCATTCTTGGATGCATTTTTGCTCCCTAATTACACAATTGTCACTAGATTTACTGTTACTCTACAGCAGTGGTTCTCAACCGTCCTAATGCCGCAACCCTTTAATACAGTTCCTCATGTTGTGGTGACCCCCAACCCTAAGGGCTCTCCAAGCGCACACTGACGCCACCCACTCACCCGCCGCGCCCAGGGCTCAGCGCGCCTCACCTGTTCTCGCCTCACTTCCGAAGGTCGCCGGCCTGCCTGGCTCCAGCTGGCCGGGGAGGGGGGCAGGAAGGCCACTCTGCCGGCTGCGCCCAGCCTGGTTGGAGAAGCACCCAGGCGGGGAGAGGGAGAGAGAGAGAGAGAGAGAGAGCCAAGAGGGCGACAGCGCCAGCAGAGCTTAGTTCAGCCTCTTCCGCGGAAAGGGCCGCGAAGCAGCGCGGCCTCCCTTAGGAGATGCTCAACGGAAACGAATCTGGCGCTGCAATGGCCCCCAGCTCGAAGCCGTGCAGAGACGGATAGAGGAGCGGTGTCTCGGTTCCTAAGACCATCGGAAATATGTGTTTTCCGATGGTCTTAGGCGACCCCTGTGAAAGGGTCGTTCGACCCCCAAAGGGGTCGCGGCCCACAGGTTGAGAACTGCTGCTCTACAGTAAAATGGGCAGCCAATAAATTAGTATAGTATAGTATGGTATGGTATGGTATGGTATGGTGTGGTGTGGTGTGGTGTGGTGTGGTGTGGTGTGGTGTGGTATGGAATAGTATGGAATAGTATGGAATAGTATGGAATAGTATGGAATAATATGGAATGGTATGGAATAGTATAATATATAATCAGTCTGACCCAGTATGATGCAAGAATGTTGTGTATAAACTTGGAAACCTAAAGTGGAATTCCTTGTAAATTCCAAGTATAAACTCTCATTTCCTTTTCTAGAGCTATGTGATATGTAATAATAAATCTTTATTGATTAGCCCTTGGGCCATATCAAAGTGCAAAGTTCCAGCAACAAATTATTACTAAAGCAGTTTAAAAGCAGTTTAAAATGATAAAAGCAGTTTAAAATGAAATTTGATAAAATACAGTTTAAAATGGAATTAGAGTAAAATACGACTTAAAATGAAATTGGAATAAAATACAGTCTAAAATGAAATTAAAATAGAGTACAGTAATTTAAAATATAGATGAAATATGATAAAATTACATCTTGGAGTCATCCTTGCAATCTACCCCAATCAGTCCCACATATGCAGATCTCAACCGAACCATTTCGTTTAAATACTGTGCTGCGTTAAATGTTATTTTCAAGTTCTGGCCGCACATAAGGTAAGTTGTTTTGATATGGGGATCCCAATGAGTCATTCGTTTGGTATGTTGACCAAGGTACCTATCTCTCACCTATGTGATTGTGGTGAAAAACAAAATGACAATTATAAATCTATGATGGAATAAATTAAATAGAAAGTTTTAAAGAAATGCACAAGTCAGACAGCTATATACTTAATCTTCCAATCCTAAAGTGAAACCTCAATTTAAATGACCCCATTTAGCAGACTCTGAAAGTAACAGACCAAATTTCTTCTAGAAATAGCAGACAAGTGTGTTGCATGTGTTCTGGAGTGGACAGTTAAATTTGTGACATTTGTGTTATGATACAAATTATTTAATTCACAACAATTTGTATATCATTTGCATCATGACATCATAATGTATATGTCATGAACTGCTGGGAAAAATAAGATTAGCAATTTAACAACATTTAGGAAAACTGCCTCTCCTGAATGGGCAGTTAAACTGAGATTTCGCCATTCTTTAAAATGGAGAGAGCTAAAAAGAACTTAGGCCCATCTATTTTGTGAGGGCAGCATTGTGAGGACATGATGGAAAAAAGAGGATGCCAAAATGTCTGTATTGTGGTTTGGAAAGTTGGCAAAGGGAATGTCAGCAAGATAAAAACAACAACACTGTAACAAGCTGGGTAAGAAAGAAAGGCAGGGAAAGATTGTCCTCAAGTGTTCTGAAGTAAGACAGTTGGCTAACACTGATGATGTTACTTAGTTTGGTAATGAAATGTCTGCAAGAAAACAGCCAAGCTCAGAGAGCATCGAGGACCTTACTGTTCAACCCTGAGTTAAAATATTCTCTTTTATTGGAATAGAGTTTGCTACTCCCTTCTCAAGAAAAAGGATACACATTTCCACCAAATGTGTAGGTTCTGATTTATGTAGATAAACACTAATTTAGAAATGGCCATTATAATAATGTCAATAGATTTGCTATTTACCTGTCATCGGAGTGCGGAAGACCTGTTTACATTCTTAGCCTGCTCTGCTCTCCAGGTGTTAACTGAAAGCAGATAAATTTGAAGCTTCTCCCATTCTCCTTCTTATGGCTTGCTCTTTCCAAACTGGTCTCGCCTTTCCAATGAAAACAATCTTGCTCTGGTAGATCTCCAGAGAGAAAGTTGCCCTTGAACCACAGTTCAGTGCATAATATCCAAAGTTGCCATCTCAGTGTTTATGGCATAAAAATTGCTCAGTGTCGAGGTTTCTATTCCTCTTCTACCTTATGTGGAATCACCTGGTCTCATTTTGGAGCAAAGGAATATCTTTGCTGGAGAAAGTCCTTCTAAGTCAGCGGTTCTCAACCTGTGGGTCGCGACCCCTTTGGGGGTCGAACGACCCTTTCACAGGGGTCGCCTAAGACCATCGGAAAACACATATTTCCGATGGTCTTAGGAACCGAGACACCGCTCCTCTATCCGTCTCCGCACGGCTTCGAGCTGGGGGCCGTTGCAGCGCCAGCTTCATTTTCGTCGAGCATCTCCTAAGGGAGGCTGCACTGCTTCGCGGCCCTTTCCACGGAGGAGGCTGAACTAAGCTCTGCCGGCGCTGTCGCCCTCTTGGCTCTCTCTCTCTCTCTCTCTCTCCCTCTCCCTGCCTGGGTGCTTCTCCAACCAGGCTGGGCGCAGCCGGCAGAGCGGCCTTCCTGCCCCCACTTCTCGGCCAGCTGGAGCCAGGCAGGCTGGCGACCTTCGGAAGTGAGGTGAGAACAGGTGAGGCGCGTTGAGCCCTGGGCGCAGCGGGTGAGTGGGCGGCGTCGGTGTGCGCTTGGAGAGCCCTTAGGGTTGGGGGTCACCACAACATGAGGAACTGTATTAAAGGGTCGCGGCATTAGGAAGGTTGAGAACCACTGTTCTAAGTCCTTAATAGAATAACAGAGTTGGAAGGGACCTTAGAGGTTTTCTAGTCCAACCTCCTGCTCAAGTAGGAAACCCTATACCATTTCAGATAAATGGTTGTCCAATCTTTATACAGTGCTTTTTTTCTAAAAAAAAAAAAAAAAAAAAGAACAGCAGCAAAGAAGGCAGTGGAAGGACTTCATGCTCAGGTGGGCTCTAGAAAATATCAAGTGGAGATGTCCCAAGCAGTGGGTGAGGTCCTAGTGAACAATCCTCTTATGACCATTTTTTCTTTGGTGTGCTTTTATCTCAAGTCTTGTCACAGGAAAGTACCGGTGACCGAATCATAGGCGGCTATGACTGCAAATCAAATTCCCGTCCATTCCAGGCAGCCATTGTAACTGGAAATAAAGGCAATTGGAGGATTTATTGTGGAGCAAGCTTGGTGCACCCATGTTGGGTGCTGACAGCGGCCCATTGTAGAGCCAAACAAAGGTAAGTCAACGAAAAAATTAGCATTAAGCAGCAGGGAGAATGATAAGAATATTTATCATAGGATAAGAGCCTTGTCTTGAGAGCCAATTGATATAGTGGTAGTCATTCTTTCTCAATCCACATCAGGAAAGAGACTGGATGAGCTGAGCAGGAGCTAATGGGGAATTAGTCTGTAATCCTTACCTAGGCATAAGAGGTCTGCCCCTTTTGAATGCCATTGAACCTTATCTAGTCTGGCCCAGGTGCAAACTGCCAGTCTGCGAAGATTCCTGTGCAACAGGCATGATCAATAAAGTAGCTAAACTCTTCACATTGCTCATGCCTGACACTGACTGAAAAACAAAAAACTCTCATCACATCATGCATGGTTTTGTTGTGTGAACTAGGCAAGCACAGTGCAAAAACTCTGCTACCATGCAGGACAAATGCTAAGAAAAGGAACAAGAGTCTTGCTCTTTACCAGACAACACAACAAGAAACAGCCCTCAAAATCCAAGTCATTCCCCCACTCATAATTTGACTTTCAACCCCCAAACCCCAATATGCAAACGAAGAGGCTCAGTATACGCATGTTTTTAAGAACTATCTACTGCCTGTTATGATCTATTCAACCTAAAATATCAGTGTAGTCCACCAGAGTCAGTTTGATGTAATTGTTAAGGTGCTCACCTAGAAACCAGGTGGCGGGAGTTCCAGTTCCGCCTTAGGCATGAAAGCAGACTGGATGACTTCATAGCAATCACTCTTTCTCAGCCCAACTCACCTCCAAAATTGTTTTTGTGAGAAAAATAAATAGGAGGAAGGAATATTATGTATGTTCACTATCTTAAGTCACCCATAAAGTAATAAAGATAGGATAAAAATCTAACAAATAATCATTTCTAGTTTCTATTGGGTGGTGTTTCTCAGTCTTCTTTATGTTTTTTTCCCTGAAGCTCATTTTATTCTGTTTTATTTTGTACAGAGTGAAGGTGTGTTTAGGAAAGCACAATCTAAAAAAGGTTGAACCAACAGAGCAGTGCATGGATGTCGCTCAAGCTATCCCCCATCCAGAATACAATAAAAAGAAAATGAACAAGGATTACATGCTTATTCGGCTTAAACCCTGTGCCATAATAACTAAAGCAGTTAATGTCACACGGCTGCCTACCCGTTGCCCAAAAGATGGGCAACGATGTACTGTTTCGGGCTGGGGCACGATCAAATCACCTCAAAGTAAGGAGGCAAAAAGGGATGGGCAAATGTTTTCCTCTTGTCATCATTTATGCAAATATGGCAGTGGTGGGATTCAAATATGTGAAGAACCGATTCTCTGTGTGGATGCCGCTTCCAGAAGTCTGTTCTGTGCCTGGGCAACAAAAAATTAGCTACTGGTTCTGCCGAACTGGTGCGAACTGGCTGAATCCAACCACTGAAATATGACCCTGCCAATTTCTTACCGCTGTTTAATCTTCCACTCTGAAATTCAGTTTGTCTTATTGTACTATAAGTGCCGAGACAGACATCTGTGAAATGGCCTGTGTACTTCTAAAAAGGATGAGCTTAAAAGAAATGAGAACCTTAGGGTTAGGGTTAGGGATGGGTTTGGGGTTAGGGCTAAGGCTAGGGCTAGGATTAGGGTTGGGGTTGGATTGGTTTTAGAAGGCACTTCGAGTATAATCCATAAAAACTACAAACACTCAAGGATTTGGTGTAACTTGAAGTAGAAGTGCAACACTGGAGCCATATGTGAGAACACAAAGTATAAATTAAGTGTGGAAATCTCAGCCTTTAGTTTCCAGCTTGTATATCAGAGGTCCCCAACTTTTTGGGCACCAGGAACCGGTTCCGTGGGGAGAGGTTTTTCCGTGGACCAGAGGGTTCATGGTTTTGTGTGCTGCCTGCATCCTGCAGATGGGGCTTTGCTTGTTTGTGTGGACTGGTTGCTGGCATGCCATGGCCCGGTACCAGTACACGGACCGGGGGTTGGGGACCCCTGTTGTATATGAAGGGAAACCTAAGAACTGGTTCACCAAACCATTAAACAATTCAGTCAACATGCTCCAACTTCATGTTCTCCAGAACTATTAGGGTTCTGCCTCCCATAATTCCTAGGCAATGTGATCAAAGGGATCCCAAACAGATTTCTGATGTCTATTCAGACATTCTTGGTTTCTTATAACATTCCATAATTGGCTCAAGTTCTGCTTGTTGAAATCTGGCAATTGGGCCCGATTAGAAGGACCAAAGATGAACTTTGAATGAACTTCTCTCCCAGGAACATCTAAAAAGCCACAAATATGCCTGATGTTCATGCATTGCTAACTTTTTTTGGTTTTTGTCACTATTAACCAATTGGTATGTCTTGCAGACAAACTTCCAGCAAAGATGCAGTGTGCAAATGTCAGCATTGTTCCATATAATCAATGCAATAAAGCATATTTTGGTAGGATCACTTCACACATGTTGTGTGCCGGAGTACCTCAAGGAGGCGTTGACTCTTGCCAGGTAAGATGAGAGCTGATGACTGTTTCAGCCCTATGCCTACAGGCTTTTAAGAACATGTGAGAGTTTTAGGGGTTACATAACAACTAGAGGCATGTACAGGTAGTTCTCGACTTATGACCATTGTCAAGGTAATACTTTAACAGCTAACCAGCTTGTATAATGTGAGATGTATGATGTAATGATGGGAATGACTCAGCAGGGTCTATGTCCCTTTAAGAGCCTTTTTATAAAGGGAAGTCTCTGCTGCTGTGTTCTCTCTCTTCTGTTTCCTGCTGTAATTGTGGTTTGTTGGATCCTGCTGTATTAGCACATGTGTGTATATTGTTCCTGGTGTATGATATTGTAGATAGTGTAAGATAAACCACCATTTAATATAGACCACTGTTTACTGTGCTTACTTCTGGGTTATCTCAGTGCAATAAGACTGTGCATGCTCTGACAACCATGATTGGGACCAAAATTTCCATTGCTAAGCAAGGCAGTTAAGTGAGTCATGCCCGATTTTACAACTTTTTTGCCATGGTTTTAAGCAAATCATTGCAGTGGTTAAGCAAAGCTGCCTTCGTCGGTTGTCTTGGCTTGTTGAAAGCCATCTGGGAAGCTCACAAATATTGATCCCAATGGTAACTCCAGAATTCTGCAACTGTCGTCAATACATGCCAGTTGCCAAGCACATGAATTTTAAACACGTGAGTGTGTGGGGATGCTAAAATACTACAGCATTGGAAATGCTGGTTGTAAGTCACTTTTTTTCATTGCAGTTGTAACTTTGAAAGGGTCACTAAGTCAAGAACTATCAGTATAGGGGTTCCACTGTCATGGTTCCGATAGATGAAACCATTTAAAGAACTTCAAGGCAAGAATTCTTCCTTAAAGAACATTTTATTAGGAAACAAAGTATCGGCACTTACATAGTTGAACCCAAAACTGAGATTCCCTCTCCCCAGATACAAAGTAACAAGTTGCAATTCCCACCCCAGACACGCTGTCATAAATCACATTCCCCAATTAACACAAGCCAAGGGCTTTTCTCACCGGCCTCTCAGCCCGCCAAAACCTTATCAGACCATGTTCTTGAGTTCTCACACTTCTACATTGTTATGGTTAGCTAAACCCTCAAGCATTTACCCCATCCCCTCTTCTACATCTGAACTCTAAAAGAATAGGAAAGGCACACTAGAAGCAAAAGAGAAAATGGCTGCTGATTCTCAGTTGTCAGAGCGACGACATCCATTGTCACAGCGTTGACATCCATAATGGCTGGAGGCATGTATTTCACTCCGTCAAGGGTGGGCAAATGTGCCAGTGCTAAGGACTGCAGTCAGCAGTTGGGATCATATAAAAATGAATTAGATCTTTTTCTTGAAGTTAAACTAGGATAAGATCAACATGGGAGTGTTAAGTGACCATTTATGCCTTTTTTCCTTGTAGGGTGACTCTGGAGGCCCTCTTGTCTGCAATGGGCTACTTGAAGGTGTGGTTTCTTGGGGGAAGTCTGTGTGTGCTCAAAAAGGGAATCCAGGAGTCTATGCCAAAGTCTGCTGTGTTGTCCCGTGGATTCAGAACACAATTAAGAACTGGATACGCTCTTTCTATGATGGATTTGAATAGAAGGAAGATAATCATTTCTGAGAAGACCTTGGGAATGAATTTCCTGGCGTATCGTGTGTTTTTTTCTCCCCACGTTTCCTGAATGGGCTTAGAGTTAGAATCTGCAACTATGAGGGACATTTCACATATTATGGGATCTGGCTAAGGGCTCCGTATAGCCGGGTCAGGTTATTGGGTTGATTTCCTGCAAGTTTATTATTTCCTGGCCCCAACACTGTCAATCTGTATTATAAAAAGAGAGGACAATTTTGGAGTTTTTTTTATAGATAGTCCTCGACTTACAGCCATTCATTTAGTAACCGTTCAAAGTTACAATGGCACTGAAAAAAGTAACTCATGGCCACTTTTCACGCAACTGTTGCAGCATCCCCATGGTCACACACGATCAAAATTCAGACATGTGGCAAATGACTCATATTTATGACGGTTACAGTGACCCGGGATTATGTGAGCACTTTTTGTGACCTATTGACAAACAAAGTCAATGGGAAAGCCAGGTTCACTTAAGATCCATGTTACTAACTTAACCATGGATCCACTTAACAGCTATGGCAAGAGAAGCCATAGAATGGGGCAAAATCACTTAACAACTGTCTTGCTTAACAAGAGAAATTTGGACTCAGTGGAGGACTAGCTGTATAAACGGGTGGTGGGGAGCTTGAACTGTCATATGGGAAAGTGGAGGGGGCAGGTGATTGGGGCCACAAATATCCTCATTCTTGCTGTCGTGTTCTGAAGGATTGGAAGAGTAAAGAGTTGGGGTGGGGGGAAGAGAATAGAAGGAAAAAAAATAACTGCCCGGGTGATCAATATCAAAACCAACTTTTGAAGGCTCCTCAACAATTTGACTCAGGTATATCTTTTATTATCAGTACCCCATTTTCATACTTCATTCCCACTTGGTAAGACCAATGACCACATTGCATCTTTCAGTTGCTTCTCTCTTCCCTCTGTTTAGGCAGTGGTAGGCACCGATGCATGAGGGTCGATGACAATGGTTGGCCAGAAGAAACACATGAGGCTGTCTGGTTCCTGCTCCAATGTCAGATCACTTTGTGGTTAGCTAAATTTCAGTAAGGAACTCTGAAATCTGGCTCTTGAAGCACGCTAGTGTACAGGGAGGTCTGCAGAGTGTAGTCAAAAATTTAAGTTTGCCTGGGCAGAAGTTCAATCATACCATCATGGCTGCCATCTTGACTTTTCTCTTTTACCCTATGGACAGCCCTTAAGCATGGCATGGTTGGGCCAAGCTTCAGGTTTTACCTGAATCATGGATTACATTAAAATGGAGAACCTCAGCGATAGCTTTCACTCCTGGCTTCCGATGTGAGTCATGGCTGCCTAAAAATGTTTCTGTGAACAAGTGGAGACAATGATCCCTGTGCAGAGCAAAAGACTGGTGAGCAAAACCAGTCCTTCACCTTTCTCCAAAGAAGGAGAGATTGGGAAGTCACCCAGAGGTGCTGTGAACTGCAGCTTCTCATGAGGAGACCATAAAAGAGCCGTCTCCCATGGGTTTGAGCACCAGGAGCCAAGAGGACATCTTTATTCTCAGTAGCGGCACAGCTTTTCACAAGGACACTAAGTCAGCTGAACTCATTTTCTAACTACTTTGGGAAATGTTCCATTTAACCAGTTTATGGATATTAGAGACCTTCAAAACAGCAAACTCAATTGGACACCTGGACAGCTGTACATTCTTTGGATTTAAATTTTTTTAAATAGAATCTTGAAAATTTAAAATAATATACAACTGACAAAAAAACTGGGGGAAAAAGAATTTTGATTTAAGAAAGCTTTAAATTTGGAATATTGGTTATTTTTTCTGTAAGATTTGAAAAGCAAGTGTATAATGAAATAATATGTTTGTGGGAAATGACTGAAATGAAGACCATATTAGGGACTGAGTTTTAATAAAGGTTGATAAATTGCCCAGAGTCATTCAGTTGTGAGATGGGTGGCATATAAATTTAATTTAAAAAATGAAGTTTGCAAATGGATACCATTGGAAACCGAAAGATAATAATAATAATAATAATAATAATAATAATAATAATAATAATAATAATAATCATCATCATCATCATCATCATCATCATCATCATCATCATCATCATCATCATCATCATCATCATCATCTTATATATAAATAAAAATGTAAATGTTTGTTGGTTCAAAATCTTAAATCTCCGAAAGTTCTTCACCGATTGCTTTGAAATTTTGACACAACGTTGCATTCAAATATGCACATGTTTTTATATACCTATATTATATAGATGTCACACCTGTGACAGGTAAAACATGCTTTTTTTGAAAAACTGCACCATCTGTTGGACGTAAAAGCAACACATGCTTTTACCAGACTGAGCCACAGCAACGCGTGGCTGGGTACAGCTAATAATAATAATAATAATAATAATAATAATAATAATAATAATAATAATAATAATAATAATAATAAAGTTGGAAGGGACCTTGGAGGTCAACTAGTCCAACCCCCTGCTCAGGCAGATCAAGCAGAAAAGAGTTAAAATGGCTAATCCAGCTATAACTTTTTCTCATCTTAGAGTTTTTTACATGACCTAAAATATTAATAAGTAATATCTCAGAAAGGATAAGATTTTAATGAATAATGTTTTAAAAGATGATGAGAAAAAAATAAAAAACTTTTTACCTGACTTAGGCATTATAGAGTTTGAAGCATGGAAGACAACAATAATGGGGTTACCAAGATAGGAATACAAAAATCAAGAAAACAACATGGAACAGCTGCAACAAAAAGTTCTAGGCAATGCCTTTTTATTGATATTCTAGGATTACAGCCTCAACCTTCATTTATATAAATTGATTAAAACTGGGAATAAATCAGAAGAGAACCGTCCAATAGATGAGTGATCTTGTTACTTCTCCTTGGTTTGTATATTGAATCTTTCTTCAAATACTAGTGATAATTTTCTCTGAAGTCTCCCACATTTACAGCTACTCTAATTTATCAGATGTTGACCAATACTTCAGGCAGAGTCATTTGCTGTTAGCCCTTTGAGGTAGTCCAGGGAAAAACAGAACAATGAATACTAGTTCTATTTTTATGTAAGGTTAATATCAGATCCCAGGGAAATCAGAAAATCCAGGCTGTTCAAATGAGTATAAAGATTTATTGCAAGTGTAAGCTCTCTGCAAGAATCTGAACTACTGACAAATTAGCCGTAGATAAGAATCAGTGGAATTCAAGGTGGGCTGGAGTTAGATTTCTTGTAGGCATGAAGGGACTCATGACTGATGACATGTTTGATCCCTCCATCAGGCTCAGTCTGGTCATCTCCTACAGTTATATTAATACAACCTTGCTTCTCTGAAAGTGTCCTACCCCTCATGTCCTTTTTCATCCCAGAAAACTAGGAGGTTCCCTTCTGAAATGCTTTTCCCCTCTTCTCTGCTTCTCCAGACTGAGATATCTTTTGCATAAAAATTGCCGAGTCTGCAGTTCTTCCTCCTTCCTCCCAAGGTTATTTTCACATACCATTATAGTAAACTGAGAGGGGATCAAAATAGTCAAGTTGGCATATGCAACCACATAATCAATGCTCTGCCCCCTTTTAAGGTATTTTTCTGGGGGGAATTGGGCTTTCATTATGCAATTATGGATACCTTCGTGACTTTTTTTTAACAAAACCCTCCTCTCCCATGATCCTGCTTTCAGGCTTTATAGGTATTTGGTGTTGCTTCTAAGAGGCCTTTGTTTCCTTAGCTTGCCTTTTGTTTGAATCAAAGAAGGAATGGGAGGAGTACTGGAATGTGGCTAATTCATCCATTGTTACAAAGGATGCATTGTTGGCAAGTGACGAGAGAATAGCATCTTATTCTGAAATATGACCTAAGTTTGGGGATTGGCAACTTCCTTCAGGTTAATGGTTGTAGTCTATTTTTTGAAATTATACAAAGATTTGCATACTGCCTACTTCACTTCAGAATGGTGGGTTTAGAGGCAGAAAAGGGTTACTTCACTCATAACCAATGAAGCCTATAAGAATTCTTTCATTATACCTTATAACAATAAGGTAGAGTTTCAGTAATCAGTAAGAGGTGGCTTTTCATAGCAGACTTATCTCCTTTGTGGTCAAATGAAATGGACCATTGCTTGGTAACAGATATAATAATATGTGGAAGTGACCTTGGGAGACCAGACAAAGAGATGCTGCCTAGGGAGTGATCAGATAAGAGGGAACATAGCCCACAGCTGCATAATGGGCAGAGCAAGAATCTCAGGGGGACCCCTTCCTAAGTTATCAGGTAATGGCGGGAGTATTGTACTTTCAGACTTGCCCAAGATTCTGTTAATGTAGCTTTACAATAAAGAAGAATTAGCTCATCTTGTCTAGTCTACCTGGTAAGCCTGACACAGTTCAGATTAAAAAGCTGGTCTAGGCAGATTTGATCCTGGCCAACTGTGCATCAAGCCAGGATGATCCACTTCCTCAGTGCTGTCATGGGTTAAGATTTATTGAGTCACAAGACTCTTTGTTCTTATTGGATACTGTTCCATTATGAAACGTATTTTATCAATCATTTAGTAAGTAGAGATTTTATTAGTCTGATGTTGACCAAGATGGTATACAGTATCTCTGTGAAATACATCACCTACATTGCTGGCATTATGCTTGTGAGGATACGACTCCTTTTAACTTCTGCCTGCAGGCAGAACTCTGCACTGTCAATTCCTCTGCTGGATGAAGCTAGCTTAGTAGGGGAGCTATAGGATTTACTACCCTATCACTACAGAATCTCTAAGGAGGCATTTCAACATGTTGCTGGCTTGCAACATTGCATCCACTCATCAGCTATGAACCCTGATTTCTGCATCTGCAGGAGGTTCGTGTCTGTGAATTTACCCTTCAGCACCATGGTGGGTGTACCCTTATCCACAATAGTCAGGTATTACGCCATCAGGAAGGGGTGCATATTCTTTCAGATCCACCCTACCCATTAGAAGTTCTTCTAAG